ACAGCTGGTCTTCACAAAGTTGTTGGGGTTTTTTTTTTTGTTTTTACTATTGTGATGATGAGAAGGGGAGTATGGGACAACAGCTGTGCTATTGCAGCTTCAGATGTTGTGCTGCCAGCCAAGTGGCCCAGCACAGCCGTGTGTGTGGAGCAGGCCCTTCTCCATCTTCTTCTGCCACAGCTGAGGGGATGGAAAAAGCTGCTGATTCAGATCCACTTCCCCAGCTCAGCTCATCCTATTTCTTCCTGTGTAAATCACCACCTCTTCAGCTCTGCCTGCAGAGGCTCGTGTGGGCACCCCCTAACCTACTTTTGGTCAACCTGAGCCAGACTTAGCTTAAATGGATTAAGTGGGAGGTTTTTGCTAACCCAGTTTGATTGAAGTGGGTTAAGGGGCACTCACACAAGCATCTCTGTAAACAGATCGAGAGAGGGCATTAATTCCTGGGAAAAGGCAGTGGCAGGTGGCTGGGCCCACCGATCCCTTTTACCAACAGCTGACTCAGGAGGATGCTCAAACAATCTTATGGGCTGAGACGTAGCTTAGCCTTAGAAATCAATGTAGTTAGAAGTACCTTCAGTGCTTTCACCACCTATAAATTATTCTGGGACAGATGACTTTGGAAGGTATTGCCATAAGCATCTGATATGGCCTGTCCATTCCATTGGTTGCACTATTCAATTCTATCAGCCATAGCAGCATCAACATCACAGGTAAATCAGACTTCAGACATGTCTATTCAGTAGAAAATGTCCCTAAAGATTAACGTAAGAAATCAGGGCAGCTCCAGTCCTTATAAACTGATGATCTAACCCAATCTTAAGTGTGCACAGAAACTTCATGTAATGATGACACGAAATCTGAGTAGCTAGTGCTGAGTGCCTGTCTGCTTCCTGTTTGACATACAGGTCCATGAGCTGTCTACCAGATGTGCTCCTCTTTACCCTGAAGGCCATCACGAGGACTGCTATTTCACTCTGAAATCTCCACAGTCAACATTATGACAAGATACAGACTGCTCTCCAACGTATGTCTCTTGCATAACAAGACATTAGTTTAAATGCACTATTATGCTGAGGGGACTAAACTGACCACTTAACAGGAAAGGATATATCTTTCTAGCTATCAAAAACAAAGAACTTAACAAGAACTGCATCAGAACAGCATACAAAAATGAAACAGCAGTTTCTATTAAGGCAACATGGCCATATGTAGGGACAGCCCTCTGCCTCATGCAATGGCTATTGACCTGTACCTATATAAACACCCTAAGATAGAGCAAGATTAGATTAAACCATATTAAATGGCCAGTATTTCTTTCAAATGGTTAAAGCAAACTAGCAGATAATGCTGCCTTGGGGAAGGCTATGGCTATAATGTATGGCAAACATAGATGATGGCACAGCCAAGGTTTCCAAATCCCCAGTGACCCAGGGATTTGTTTGGAGTGTGTTTCTTTTCCCAGAAATAAGGCCACTGGGGAAAAAGGAAGGAAATTAATGGGCATTCAGGTCTCATCCTGGCTAGTTGCTGTGACTTGGCTGGGAGAGGCACGTAGATTCGTGAACAACAGTTCAGAATCCTGTCACCCCCATACAGCTTTCATTGCCATAAGCCACACTTCTGCTCAGTTACACCAATATTTAATTATGCTGTTGTTAGGACAAGGTGAATCTGAATCACTTGATTAAATGCTTATGTACAAGAAAGGTAGGAAATTAGCATTGATGTAATTAATCATATGCTGTTCAGCCCAGCAAAACCATTAACCAAGCTGTTTAAAACATAAAACCTATAGAAAGCAGCAGTGTGTTTTGTGCTCCTTCAAGAGCTGCAGAATGAAAAAACTGTAGCTCAGTTTGGCATGTTATAACCCATCCAGGAGCATCAACTGCTTCTGACTGCAGACTCAGTTCTCATGGGTGCTGAGGCTCGAAAACGAATGAGATGTCAAAAACCACTGAGCTTCCTGTCCTCAACATCAATCTGCATCCTTATGCACATAAATAAGCTTGCGTAATTAAAATTTGCATCATTACAAATCCCAAGCCATTTTAGAACACACACACAAGAATGGAACGTGAAATCACCATGCCCATGGTTTTCCTTTAATTTCACCAAAGGGAAGATATTTTGACAGAACTGACTCTATCTCCTTAAAGCACGAAGCATTCCTGGCAGTAGTAATTGCCTTGTAACTAGCTCCTTATTAAAACTTTTTTAGACCTGTATAACTCCACTGACTTCATGTTGCTCTTGAAGAACAGCATCATCAGCTCAGCATCAACTTTTGTTCCTAATTAAACTCTTTCAGATATGAAAAAAGAAAAACAAAAACCCAATCCACCTGAGATCAGAGTTTGTCCTATTGTTTTCCATCACAACTATCATTATCGCGATAACGCACAGTTCTCTACAAAGCTACTTTCAGCTGGAAGGAACCACCAGCAGTATGCTGTGGTGATAGAGAATTGTTTTAATGAATTCAATACACTTACCTGAAAAATACACTTGCAAATAGTAATACGGTACCTGCTTTAGGCTAAATAGAGTATTAATGAGTGAACAGGAACAAAATATTGAACCCTGAGCAATGCTGAGCGGCTACAGTTTCCATGATCTTTCTAAACTCAAGATCTCAGTGGATATTTTAAGTGCAAGGTCTTATTCTACTGTTTTCTTTCATTATTTTTTTTCCTTTATGCAAAGGAAGACACTACGTAAAGAAAACAACAGCCTTTCCATGTGGAATCCAGGTGCCTGAACATAACTACACAGAGCAGGACTTGCAGTGGCAATACATGTAGAAGCACGATCAAAGAGAGATCATTCATCATGTATATACACGCTGGATGAGGGGGAAAGGCCTGAGGGAAAACACACAAAAAAATCTTCATCACGCAAGTAATTATATTATTGCTTCATAGTTCTCAATGGCCTTAAATCCAACCTAAGAAGACATTATCTAAAGTGGCCTAGGGAATATAGCAAGGATATAAAAGGAGACAGAGGGATCAATGAGGTTTTGTAGCATTCCTAATTTCACTTACTTAATGACAGAATAGCCACTAGGCTGCTGGAATGATTTCTTGCATGAAAGAAAGCAGGAGCTCAAGAAAAGTAAGCAAGATAAGTATGTGTGTTTTAGCAGAATTCTTTCTAACTGCTAAATTATTATTGGCTAACTATCAAATATTTCACACAGTGATAAACAACTGTTCTTTCTATTTCACCAAACAAAAAGCCCATTGTAAGATTTCTACTACTGCTGCATTCACCAGAACTTACTTGAAAAACACAGTTTTGGACACACATAAAATACAACTCACACATGAATAACTGCAACGGTCTGGGTTACTTTCCAAACATGTCAGGAAAACATTCTGTTCTTCAGGGACACGAGAACACAGTGAAGCAGCACACCAGCTCTTGGTTCCAGACATCTACTGAGTTTTGGAAACAGCCTATCTTTTTAATTGTTGAGATTTCAGCAAACAGCTTCTCTTCCAGGAGAGCTGGGGTTATAAAGTACAACCCCCTGGTTTTGTTGCCAACCCAGCAAAAACAGTAGAAATTCCCACATCCCGCCTCGCCACCAAAAAAGGTGCACTTTCAACAGCTATGTCAGCACAGCAGTCCATAGGGCCACAGAGTCAACTGGAAAAATGAACCAACCTTGATTAAAAAATGCGTTACTAAAAATGGTGCTGCTTTTAATCCACTTGAGGTCATTGGTTTGATCCCCAGCTTGGAGTCACAAACAGCTGTGGCAGCACAAGTGTGGGGCCATAGGTGGCGGTGGCAGAGAGCAGGAAATCCTTAAAACCTGCAGCCAAGAACACGCTATGTAGAACTGTACATCACATTGTATGCGACTGTCAGAGGGACACACCACAGGCAATGAAGAAATCCTTCTTTTAGTTTCTTGCCCTGGTTCCTGCAGTCTGCCATCTAAAAGTATGCACATACAAGAATTCTAGAAGATACTAATCTGGATTTCAGAAATCATGTTGGTTAAGAAAAAAGGAATCTCAAGATGTGCTGTTTGTCCTAGCCATTCTCTGTTACATTGGCTTAACTGAAGAAATTATGAACAACGAGGCTAATAACTGCGTGCTGACAAGCTCTTAAGCCAGCTCTTGTGTTGAAGTACAAAAGATCTTGAACACTTACATTAAGATGAAAATCCTCTAAAAATCAACCCTAAGTTGCTCCTGACTAGACAACCCAAAGCTGGGATTCCTCCTTCAGAAAGAAAATATCCACATCTGATTTGAAAAACAGGTTCCAAACTTGGTGTGCCACGGTTCTGTGCAGTGCCGGGCTGTGTTACAGGATTTGCACCTCCCACACCTTTCACTTTCACATATTTACAGCCCTTCTTGTCTATAAAACTACCAAAAAGCAATTCCTACCTTGCAGTTATACATGGCTGCCCCAACGTAAGATGGCGGAGCAGTGCTCCCTCCATGCTAGCTTCTGTGTTTGGGACAGCTGGTTCAGACTGCCAATGTATCTATCGCCTTTGATTAAGAGCTGTTGATCTGGAAGACAACACATTTCTGAAGGTGGATTCTCAAGCAGCACGACAGCAAAACTATCATCAAGAATAGAACGTATGCCCACCACATCCGTGCCTTTCTTGTAATTTCACAGTTTGTCTCACTGCTCACATGCTAGGCTGGAGCTGTCGCTCAGCTCCCACACGGGTACCGGTGACCGGGTCACGCGCACCCCCTCAAGGCCGGATCCCGTTAGCCACCGGAACGCCCAACCCCGGGCTGCCGCGGGACTCGAACCCGGAACACACGGAGGAAGCAGAGCCGCCACCTGGCGCGAACCTTTCCGCGGTCCGCCGCTCCTGGCGGGGTCGCTGTGCCGGCTGGGCCGTCCCGGCCGGGCCACAAACTCTGAGTCACGCACTTCGTGATTGGGCAGCCGCTTCCCTCCGGCCAATGGGAGGCGTCCTTTCGCGGCTAGTCAGCGCCCGCCTACGGCGCCATCTTGCCGGCGCCGGGAGGAGCGGAACGGAGCGTAGCGGCGGGTAGCGAGTCGCCGTGCGGGCCCGCCATGCCGCACTACCAGGCCTGGGAGGAGTTCACTCGCGCCGCGGAGAAGCTCTACCTCGCCGATCCCATGAAGGTGGGTGGCGGCAGCGTCGGGCCGAGTAGGCCTGGCGGGTGGGCCGGGCCTCCGGCTCCCGAGGGAGGCCTCGAGTAACGTGGCGCACCTGGGGCTCTCGCCGCCGCGTTCTTCAGCCGCCCGGTGAGGGAAGCAGCGCCGTAAGGCGGCCGCTCCGGGCCGCGTGCCTGCCAGCGCCCTGCACGAGGCGGAGGAGAGCGTTTCCCTGCGTTTAATCCCGGTGGCCTTCAAGGATAAAAACGGAGCGGTAAGGAGGGGGCTCCTTGCTGATACATCATCGTCACGCTCCGAGAAGTAGAACGAAATTCCCGTGTAACTTGCCCAGGGAACCGCGTTACCCGTGAAACGTGGGGACCGCGAGGACCTGATCTCAGAGAACTTGTGTGCGCGCTGACCTGTGGTGCCTCTGTACAGCAGGTGCACCGTGACATCCGGGAAGGGGATTAAAGCAGTTCTCTTGAATAAAAGTGTATTGAGAACTGGCTTACAGCGTATGAGGCTGTATCTGTTTGAATTAAAGGAATCCAGAGCTGTTGGGAGGGACCTCTGCAGATCCAGACCAAAAGCATTAACTCCCATGTCACATTGTTGCCTACAGCATCACTTCAGACTGGAAGGGCTTTGTTTCCTGGAGAGTAATTAGTCTAGGAATTAACTTCTTAATATATGATTGCTTTTTGTTTCCAGTAACCTTTGTCTTCAGTTTGCACAAACATTAAAAACCTTCAGCCAAAAAGTTACAGAAGGTAACAGGACTCACAAGCCTGAGAAGACACCAGTAGGAAAGGCTTAGTTTCATTCACCAGAAGTAGTATCATAGAATTTTGGAATAGCATTAATTAAAGGGGACCTTAAAGCCCGTTCAGTCTTAGCCCCCCAACCATGAGCAGGCCACTTCCCCCCCCCCTCAGCTCAGGCTGCCCAGGGCCCCCTCCAGTCTGGCCTCAAGCTCCTCCAGGGTTGCAGTATCTTCTGCTTCTCTGGGCAGCTGTGCCAGTGCTACACCATCCTCTCAGTGAAAAACTTCTCCCTGACATCTAATCTAGATCTCCCCTCTTTTAATTAGAACTGTTCACCCTCGTTCATTTTCTATCTACCTATGTAAAAAGTTGATTCGCGTCCTGTTTATAAGCTCCCTTTTAAGTATTGGAGGCCCATGACAAGGTCAGAGCCTCCTCTAGGCAGAACAAAGCTTCCACTTCTTTCTTGTGCTGGGGGTCCCAGACCTGCCATTAGCATTAATAACCACTTCTTATGCAATTGCTTCCTACCTACTGATAAGAAACTAAAAATAACTTGTTACATAATGCTTTGCAATATCCAGTTAAATTAAGAGTTTGGAAAGGCTGCCATTGCAGCCAGAAGCACCTTTCCCTCTTTGTAAGGGACCTTAAGGCACTCTCTTCATTCACACTCTGCTGTGGCTATCAACTTGGTTATTTATGAGAGGGTTTATGTAGGCTCCAGAGTCATAGTTGGAGTACCCTTCTTTTACTTGCCTGAAAAGCTTTTGTATGCAACTGCACTTAACAAAAAATTAAGAATTGTGGGAGACAGGTCTGTGTTGTTTGGGAGCTGATGAGGCTGGACAGCAAGTGGCCTTGCTTTAGTGGGAGCAAGTTACCTAGTCCATGCCTCTAACAGCCTCTGTTGTGCTGCTGAGCCTGCCTGGCTGAGAGATGTAGTTACACAGGTGCTGTGGTCAGAAGGCTTTCTTGAACAAGAAAGATAAGTCTGTGAAGAGATCTCTCATAGAGACAGTCTCAAAACACATTTTGTAGTCATGGTGATTGTTGACCACATCATAGGTCAACAAAGACACGTTTATAGCATGGGTTGTCTTAGTTCAGAATGTTCTCAAAAGCACAAGTTGCTTTGTTTATAGATACTAATGCCAGCTGAGATCAGAAACAATAGAAGTCCCCTTGTTCTGCATTCAGGAAGACTCATTCAATGCTCAGTCAGTTGCTGAGAGTTGATTTTTATCACAATGGTTTTGAGAACTTTTGTAACTGAAGAATGCAGAAGGGCTGTGGGTAGGTTGAATCTCAGGGCAGGTTACTGTGGTAGGAGCCGTTTTTAGCAAGTAGAATGCTTGCTTCCTGACTTCAAACCTAGCCTTGTTGAGTCTTGAAAGCAATTTGAAAGAGCCCTTTGTTTGTTGTTTTTTTTTTTTTTTTTTTTTTTTTTTTTTTTAAATTACACTAGAAGCGTTTTGTTATGTCTCCCCTCTCCGCTTATGAAAGCATTAGCATGATTCAAGTCTGCATGAATGTAGCTACTGAATTAACTGTAGTGACTGGAACACTTACATCATACTCACCTAATACATAGTTAGATACTGTATAAGAAAAGAAGTAGTGCTGAGTTTATCCCACTCAGTCAAGCCTTTTCAATTGTTCACACAGAACTATTTTCTTAAGGTTTCTTGTAAGAAAACTATGTGATACACAGTGAGAGAGTGTCTTACATTGGTAGGACTCTTGTCATCTGTTTACCTGTCAGTGGAGTCCCTGCACGTGCCACTGCTGTATTTAGTGTAGTTTGTAACATACCTGTTGCTACTATAGTACTGATTTAGCATGTGGAAGTGTGGTGATTAGCTTCCAAACCATCTTGTCTGTAAGGTCAATAGACAGTGGAGTTGGGGTCCACTGAGAGGCAGCAAAACTGAAGCAGTGCAGAAGTCTAATGAAGGCAGTCTGAACTCAGGCACTCTTCCCCCATATGTTCTACAGCAAGTAATTTGGATATTAATTCTTAAAATGCTTGTCATTTCAGGTGCGAGTTGTTCTCAAATATCGACACTGTGATGGGAACCTCTGCATCAAAGTAACGGACGATGTAGCTGTAAGTACAGAACATGCTCTTGGGGCTTACTGGACTTCAAGTATTTGCTTTCTGCAAGTATAAGCTCTTAGCCATTGCCTTGAGTACCTCACAATTTCCTAAAACCTTGTTTTGCTCAGGTTTCCCTAATTTCCTTCTGGTGACTGAAACTGACCTCTGTAGTTCAGCTCTACATAGTCCACAAGAAGCTCTAACAAACACTTCAGTATCCTTTATAGGTCTCCCCATATCTTTGATTTTGTAGAATCCTAAAACAGTTATCTGAGCACTACAAAAAAAATCCATCTTCATGGAACTACATTGGTACTTCCTGCTGCAGCGTTTCAGGAGCATCTTCAAACACATTTACTGCTGAGTGTGGTCCCTTCACTTTGCTCAAAGTGGTGACAGGTTTAATCTGTAGGGTAAGCTGCTGCTTTGTGATGAGAAGACACTAGAGTGTTATCACAGTGAAACGTGACATTCATTCACAGCACAAAGATCCCATCCTCTGAAATAATATTATGGTACCACAGCCATTTGTTATGCATTCAGAAGCATTTGAGCTGCATTTACTTACTACTCTTGTTCTAAATAGTCTGGAAGGGTGCTTAAACTCACGAGGGATTCGAAGAGGACAGCAGGTAGAAATAGAATTTATCTACATGCAGAAGTACATGCCAGCAACAAGTTCTGCTGGTAATAACATTACAGCCAAGTTACTGTTGTGCAGCCCAAGTAAGCAACAGTAGTATGCCCATTCCTTACACTGAGATCTGGAAAAAACCTGGTTTTCCCTTCCCAGGAGTGGCCTGGCACTGGTATTTCCAAGGCAAGATGCAAAATTCCAATAATGACACAGTAGTGACAGGGCTTAGTTTGAGATACTGATCATGGTGTACTGATAACAGGGAAGTAAAAGGCAGTTCAGTTTGAAGTTTTCAGTAATGGAAGATTGGTGTCTGTGACTTGTAAGCTTCAGCTTTTTTATTTCAAGCCTTCTTACCTGCTGCCAGTTGTGGAAGGCTGTTATGCTGATTGTTTTGTAAAGGGAGGAAATAAAGGGTTTCCTTTCTGCTAAGTGTACAACTAATATAGCTGAGGGAAAAAAAATAAGTTTTTCTCTACTGCTCACCTCTGAATTAAAAGAGGATTTCATTGCTGGCAAAAGTTGCTGCATTCAGAGTGCTGGAGGATGGAGCATTGTTATGTGTAGTTGTTACGTAGGTCTGAGCAGTCAAACTGATGCTGTGCAGGTATAAGAAATTACTCATGCAGTGAAAGCTAAGCAGCCATTTTATGATTAGTCACCAACATATTGCTCTCATTCCTTTTGCATTTACAGGCTTGTCACATGAAGGAATTCCTCTTCATCTTAATTAGATGTTATTTTCCTCATTAGAACTATCTTTAAAATGGATTTTGCGTAGGGGAGGGGGATCCTATCCAGTGGGAAATACTGATGTTGTGTCACTAGCAGTGCATAAGGACCGCTAGAGGCAGAATATACTTTCAAGATATAGAGAACAGGATAGTGAAAAACCCTTTTCTAGATAAAATTCAACCTAAACCAAGTGTGCCCCTAAAGACAGCTTTAAAGCCCAAGTTTCACCACCTTTGAGAGAAAAGATAACAGAAACGATGAGCTTCACTGTTTTCAAAACAGAAGGCAAGAACCTTTGAAAGAAAATTAAACAGGCATTTTAAAAGAAGGTAGATGCGTATTGCTGCTGCCACATGGTAGCAACATACCACAAACGTTCATTGAAATACTTGTTTCATTGGTTCGAGCACAAATTCGTTGCAGCTGCAAGTGGGGTAAAAGCAGTGCAAATGGAATCTGATATTAAGCAACTTTCTCTTGCAGTGCTTGCTGTATAGAACAGACCAGGCACAGGATGTAAAGAAGATTGAGAAGTTCCACAGTCAGCTGATGCGACTGATGGTGGCTAAGGAATCCCGCAGTGCTGCCATGGAAACAGACTGAGCTGCTGAAAAGAAAGGAGCGCCACAGTCGGATTTCACTGGAAGAAAACATCTCTTGGATTTGAACAAATAGCGGGACAGGAGATGCTTTTTCATGCCAAAGTGGACTGTTACAAGTGTAGAGTATCCTCCTCCCCTGACTCCACTTTGGAAAACTAGGAAAATTAATGCTTTCAATTGAAAGCTTATATTTATTTTCAGGAATTGAACAAGAAACTATTCTTACACACCAAGTACGCTAAGAAGACAAGTCTTCACAATTCTACAGTACTTGTGTGAATTTGGTGGGCCACAAGCATATTTCTGGAAAGTTGTAATAAAATTCCATATAGGTTTTGTTGTCTTCATATGTTATGCTGATGTATTCTCAGTGAGAGGCTTTATTAACATAATACTGTAGTGTGATTAATGGATCTAATAAATATTTACATAAATAATATACTTCAGTGGGGTTTAGAAGAATGCAATTTTAACATTTCACTTCAGAAAGCAGCCAATGTATACTAAGACTGCACCTAGCAAAATTTTAGCTTTTAGTATTGATTTCGGTCACGTGTAACATCAGCAATGCATCTGTAGAATCCATGTGATATTGGGTAAATAATTAAGCTGCTCTATTTGAAATGTTAAAGTAACACTTGCTGTGTGCAGTTAGCAATACTCGAGCAGTTTCTTTTCTGGTTAGGCAGATATTGATGAAAAATACCAGAACATTCTTTCAGTACTTGAACTGTTGCATACTAGAAAAGGGGACCTTTGCCATCCTTGCCTCGGGCAGAGTTGAAGTGCATCAGCAGGACTAATTCTAGAAGCTTTTGCTTGTTATGTTAATAGAAGAATGCAACCAGCCACTATCCAGTCATTTTTAGCTATTTGTGAACTGTGCATTTTCAAATGTTACATGAGGCACATGGATATCAGCCAGCTGAACAGATAGATAAAAACCAGCTTAATAAATACAACTGTCAAAAATAGACCCGTGCCCACTACGCTTTGACTTTTTTTGCACGCTTACCTCTGGTAAAGTGATGAAAATTTTGTCTTTTACAAAAGTTTTTATGCTTGACAGCCCAGTAGCTGAAATTGATACTGGACCATGCATACCTAAAACCACACTTTGTTTTTTATATAAATATGCTACTGCTGTACTGTATGCCCAGATTGTTTTGGCTTTAAGAAAAAAAATAAGTAAATAATCAAGCTGTGAAAACAAGCCAGAGCCATACAAGACTTGTCTGCGCTAGCATTTAAATATGGCAAAACAATCCACTTCAATAGCTATCTGTTGTCACTGACATTAAATAAGCACAGTCTAATTAGAAGCAATTCTCACATTTGCTGAGGTCTCTAACACAAAACACAGGCTCAGCTGCTGCAGTAGAGTACCCAGTAACCAGCTGATGTGCAACACCGCATGCTTTTGGAAAGCCCTTAGGTGCTAAATTGCCAGTAGCCACTCTGTAGGAGTGACCTACATGTAATGTTTTTGGATTGGCTTTTGAAATGCAGATAAACCCAGAGAGAATTATGGACTTCGTCCATAATTAAGCTGTAATAAGATACTGTGATCTGAAAATTTTCCTGGATACTCCAAATTGTCATCTTAATATTACAATATAGCACATTAAGGACTCAAGCCATTTTTTAATCTAGAATACTGTTCTGAGGTGTACGGGTGCTGTGTAGAAGTCACACAAGTTTTACACTACTAACTTGGCAGGTGCAAAGGCTGCTGCTATTTCAGTGTGATTTTTGGCCACTTACAAATTGGTTTGGCATGAGAGGTCTTCTGTGAGCAGAGGGACAGAAGGATTTGACTGTATTCACTTGTGCATGGAGGATAAAGGTAAAGAGAGGGCTGCAGGTAAACTTTGTGCACCAGGGGGCTGAAAGGATTGAACTAGAGACTGAGGTTTTAAAGAGGAGTACTGGTGACTAGCAGAGGAAGGGATTACAGTGCTATACTAAATTGCAGTTGTCAAGAAAAAGGCAGGAAAATCAATTTCTGGTTGCCTAAATTCAGACATTATTGCTGGAAAATCACAAGGAAATATTAAAGCTGCATTCTTAAAGGCGATGTTATGCTTGTTCTTTGTGTACTTGCTGGAAAATGAAGATGGTACTAAGCAATTATAATAAAAATACTGCTATAGCTATTGTTTTAAAACAAACAAGCCTTCAGAAATTCACTTAGGGGAAAAAAGATGACATATTTCATGCTTTTTGACTTTGTCCTGCAGCTTTCAGTCACTTCAGTACTCTGTTCATGGGATGCTTCGTAGAAACACTGAACTCAAAGCTCTGCTTCGTACTGCTAATGCTCTTGTTGAGAGTACAGTTCGCACTTGTTGCATCTGTACTGTAGTTACCAACTCCTAATAAACGTTGTCATGGAGTTAAGCCAAACTGCCAACTGCTCAAAGGTGTCTGTTGATACATGATGGGGAGAAAAAATGCTTCTGAAAACAAAAAAAAAATCAGCTTAACATGGCTGCTGCATTAAAAGATAACTGATGTGCATAGAGTATCTGCACTCAGAAGCACTGAATGCAGCAGCCCAGCCTATCAGCAAATGCTTCTGGTTTCCAGAAGCAATTGTGCCAATTAAAGGATGCAAACAGCCAGCTCAGGAACCTATGTGTGACTTGTCTGGTAATGGGAATCTTTGCAGGAGGACTGAAGTTACTAAAATCAAAGGATGGTTTTGCTTACTTCAGCTTATTTTGTTGCTGCATATGTTAGTCATTTTCAGTGACCATCTCATTCTGCGAGTGCAGTTTAATAAAAAGAAGGGTCTATTTCCTTCAGAGTTTTTAATTCTAAGCCTCTGGATATGCAAGCATGTTCTGGATTACAGGAAGATCCTTTAATTATCTGTAGAAGTGAGAACTGGTTACAAGTCATGGTTTTAGAGATGCTTGTGAAAGAGGCTTTTGTTTTCATCAAAGTCGAGCTAATGCTTTCAAGAGCATCGGATTTATTCCGGAAAATTAGGTGCTTTTGTGCCTGAGTCCGTGCAAATAGGGAATTGAACTGAGGCCAAGCCTTTGACAATGTTTTAACTTGTCAAAATAATTACATTTTATCTCCGTAAGTTCTTTCCTGCAGTGCAAGAAAGAAGTGGATACTGCTCAACACCCCTGTAATAAATGTGGAGGAACCTTGGTTTCTGCCAGCCACTGTCAGTAAGCCTTTGATGATTGTTGTTCCCTTGGGTTGATTTTAAGGGATTACATCATCTGTAAAGCGTGTTGCCCTCTTGCTTCAGAGGGAAGCAATCTGCTCACTTCTTTATAAATAAGGATGGGAACACACTGTTGTCCTGTACTCGAGCTTTTTCCCCTTCTTCTCTGCTTTAGGGGAAGAGTGTTCCACAGAAATGATACTGTGACCACTTCTAAAAGGCATTTGAGATTGATCTGAAGTGGAAAAAGGAATCTACAGCAAATTGCTACACAGAAGTAAAAACGTGTGATATCTTCTCATCTAGAGACCAGATTCTGCAACAGTTCCCATTCTTTCAAGAGACTGAACATCAGCACACAGCCTTACAAAGTTGGATCTCAAACTGAAAGCCTGGTTTGTACAATGACCTGTGCTGAGGTAACTTTAAGTGTCATTGACTGAAACGAAGTTGCTTTTGTCAAGCATATTTTAGAAGCTTTCTTGTGAAGATCCATTAAGAAAGATAACAACTAACTTGCTTTTTAAAAATCTAGTCTATGCTCCACATCGAGTTTTTGCTTAAGTTAACAGTGATCTCACTTCCAAGAGATGAGGTATCTAGTCTGAGAACTTGGTACCACTTTGAAGGTAGATGCTGCATGACTGGAGATAAAAAAATCTTTGTAAGCAAACAATTGCATTATCTTTTACACAGGCCTTGAAAGGTATTTAAATCCAGGCAAGAGTTAAATCACCTTTGTGTTGGAGATGACATAAAAACACCTTTCATCTGTTGTTACTTTTCCAGCAAATACTCTTCAGACTGGCTTCCAGATAAGCCTCCCCAGCTTTTTATTGGGAGGAATTACCATGCGCTGGAGGTAGATGTGGCCTTTTAGTCTGTAGAAGTGGTGCATTTATCAGAGAATGTTACCACAGTATTTCAGGAAGAGAACAGTTACTCAGCAGAACACAAAGACAGGTAGTCCACTAATCCCCGACAGTTGGCATAGGCCCCCTGGCTGCTGTAACAGACCAGAAGCTGGCAGGAGAACGTGGGCTTAAATTGGACCACGTAACACAAGTCTGTGGGAACTGAGCCAGTAAGAGCACAGTCACAGTGTGATAGCAGAGTTTAGTTACCTACATGTAAGTGCAGTTATTTTTGTACACTGTCTTTGTTTCTAGTGAACACGCATTTTCCCCCCCCCTTACATTGTGCCTCAGTCACTTAGTCACAGGTGTTTGCTCTTGGAGTCCCCTGATGGGAACAAAGACTTTCTGCTATCCTAAAAACATCTCAAGCCATTAGTGCCATCTCTGAGGGCTCTTGGTTCAAGAGCTGGCCAGGCTCCCAGCCAGAGCCTGTGTGCTCAGCCTGAGTGCCCCCATAATGGCAGCCCATGATGCAGGGAATTTGGGTATTAGAAAACTAAGAATAAATTTCTCTTATACTGCAATTGATGGCATTCACGAAACTGTTTTCTATTTAAATCAAGACCACCTTTGAAGAGATTTTTGATTCTGCACTCATTCTTCTGTCTGCTTTTTTGTGGCGATTCTTAGTCTTTTTGCTAGAACTTAATATTAGTCATGCTGAAAGGCCTGGGAAAGGTTTGATTTGTTGCTTTCTCCTTTGAAGTTGTGCTAGCACATTGCATTCATTTTTTGTCTAGAAATGGTATCTCCATAAAAGGCCCAATCTGTTCTGCTGATACTGAGAAGAATCCTCCTGAGCATCGCATGTGTGTTTACAGCAAGATTTCAAATACCAGTTTCATAGGGGAATTGAGCTTTCTGGAAACCTATTGAAATACTTGCTGACTGGTCGTGAGCAATGAGAAGTCACTGCTCACACTGGCTAGTGAAAAAAAAAAAATAAAAATGTATTTTAAGTGGGTTGCTGATGCATGTAAATAGAGCCATCTAAAATACAGTTCTCTTGTCATTATGTGACTGAAAGATGAAAGGCTTGCCTCAGGGCACTAATAAATGAGCTCTGGCAAGTTTTGAGCAAGCCTTAGAGAAGCTACCTCCCAAAGATATCCTTTCCTTTAAGGAGCCAGCAGATAGGAGGATGAACTAATGCTTTAAGCATGTCAGTGCAAAAGTGGATGTCTTTCTTTAAATTACTATGAAATAGCTCTTAAAATTGGAGAACAAGGAGGCAGCTGACCTTCTCAGTGAGCATTTAACAATCGGTTCATAGAATGGTTTGTGTTGGAAGGGACCTTTAAGACCACCTTGTTCCAATGCCCTGCTATAGACCAGGTTGCTCACAGCCCCATTCAGCCTGGCCTCAAATGCTTGGCTGCTCTTCTTTGTTTCATGACAAGTTTCCCATGGCAGTGCTACCCAATAGCTGAGGGCAGTAGCCAGAGAAATAGAAGAGATTCACCTGGGCTTACACTCAGGGGAAGCCTTATGTATGCTTCTCACTCAGCAGAACTATATAACAGGTGACTGCACTTAAACATGCAACCAACTGACCATATTTTCAGTGTTTCCATGAGAGCAAACAGCTGCTTTCCAAACAGCTCCCAAACCACTGCAGCAGTGCTCTGTGTCATCTGACCAACATAACAAAACTGGAATTCCACACTAGCCTGGGTCAATGTAACAGCTGGTTGCTGATGCCTGCCATCTCTATCACACAATTTCTAGCACACCTCAGAGCTTTGACTAAACCCTTTCCATTTACCAATGCATCAAAAAGCTCCTTAATCTGGAGACTGCTATTATGGTATTCTGCCTATTTGTGTGCTGACACAGCATCACCAGAGGTCAGATGAGTGCTTAGGGAAAGGAAAGTCAGGGCTCAGGGGCTCTGAGGAGGGCTGAGAAGAGTGATTGGAATAGAAGAGCCACCAGTTAGATTGGCTTAGACCACCGCAGAACCTCTACTACTTATATTCTGTTATCTCCCTAGCTTGCTTGTAAAAACCTCACAGTTGTCCATTAAATGGTCTACAGTGTAGATTTTACTTAACATTTAACTGGAAGACTGTCAATAACTGAAATATTTTCATGTTGTTCTAGTTCATACAGACAGTACTTAGTAGTACAGAAACAAAGACTGTAGTTCCTCACTCAGGGCCTCTAGAAGCCTCTCAGATGGAACATTCTGAACTGAACGCATGCTATAAGGTAAAGGAATATCCCACAGATTTACAGAACTGTCTGATAACTCTTAAAATGCTGAGTATTGCAATTGAGAGTGAGCAGCATATAGGAAAGCATACACAACATCAATAGCAGCTGCCCAACGCACAGCTACTCCAAACCAGAATGTTTTTAAGGTGCCTCCTGGCTGCATCCAGGTGGCCCCTCACAATAACCCATTCAAACAGCACAACATCTACAGGGTACCATTTCGCTAACAGAATCATAAGGACTCAGAAAGCTTACCAAGATCATCATGTAAAGCCAGCAACCCACATCCCCCATAACTAACATTCTACTCACAAAGAAGCAACATCACTTCTACAGATTATTGGCAACACAAGGCAAAGTACTTGCAGGCAGACTAATAATCATAGACAAGAAGAGCTGAACTCACCCAGCTGTGACAGGCTCTCTCACCACACAGCACACCTCTTCAGGAAGCATCCCAGGTCCAAGAGATGCTCTTCTTTTAGTGCCCAGCCCTTATACAAGCCACCCTGGGCCCACCTCTTCCGGTTACATGGGGAGCACAGGTGCAAACACTTAGCCTGTGCTTCCTAGGCCAGCCACACCTCTTCTCCAGGTGCTCAATCACCAGTTCAGGCCATGATCTGTCAGTTCCCCTACTAAGCTACTTCCCTCAGTGCCACATCTCTGTTTCTTTAACCTTTCTAGAGATGGTGTCTCCACCACCTCCCTGGGCACTGTCTCACCACTCTTTCGGAGAAGAAGCATCTCCTAATGTCCAATATGAACTTCCCCTGATGCAACTTAAGGCCATTACCTCTTGTTCTATCACTAGAGAGATGGGGCTCTTTGATTTCAGGATCAGAAAAAAGGTTTTCCTTCCTCATTCTTCTAACTTCTTTTATTAAACTTCCTTCTGGACTCTTTTTTCCTTTCTTCTTTTCCATCTATTTTCAATTTAATCTTGCTCTTTATATCTATAGGGCTAATTCATCTTATTTTCTCCTTGTAGTTGACCATGGTGACTTTTCTTTGGGAAGAGGATTGTTACACAGTTGCATCTTCACTTTCTTCTACTTGTGGATTTAATAATGATTTTGTTCTCAAAT